CACCCAATGGCCCGGGACCAAGAGTGCGCCCGCCCCTGCTTCGCCCTCGGCCAGGCTCCCGCAGCGGGCAGCAGCCTCGCACCCCGGGGTGCTGCTCGCGGCGCGGCCTGACCCCAGCTGGCTTGTCTCGTGCAGGGCACTTCAGCGTGCTCATCCCTACTGCTGCAGCCTCCCCACAAACGTGACTCCGGGATTTATGGCTTCTGGTGAGGTGTGAACTATAAATTCTCTCCCAAGTCTCGTACCACCGCCTTGGGGAGAGCCACACTCTGCTAAGGCCGCTTTTCAGTGGGAAATGGCACAGAACAAGCCATCAGCACTGTCACGACTTGTAAAACACGATCATCTGGGGGAAGTTTTTAAACAGCTTTCTCTCCCCACACCTCATTCCCATTTTGGAAGTCCGTGCCCTGGTTACTGGACTGTGCCTTGTGGCACCTACAAGACGACCACTGTTCAATGTACCTTTGACAGCAATGAAGAAATAATTACCGGAGCTACTTAAAAACCAAACCTTTTCACTTTGGTTCACATTCATGTGTTTAAAATAAGTCCCCAATCCATGAAACCAAGTTTCATATGTCAGCAGCTCTCCTCTATCCCAACTATACTGTATAACTGTTGTGTCCACAACAGATGCAAGTTCAAGTACTTCTAAGTCAGCTGATTTAAACTTTAGATCTTTTTAGTCATTTTTACTATTGCTAACAGAAGCAACATTACACAGAATAATAAACTGCAATCGTGTGAGTTCCCAAATCCTTCATGCATTTTTCCCTTACTCAAAATGTTCCATGCTGAGCTTGACCACAGAAGAGATGGGCACAGCATCCGAGGAGCAGAGGCACTGCCTTCTCCCAAGTACCCAGCAGTACCTACTGCCACCTCCGAGCTCTCCTTTAAGCACAGGTCAGAAGGTGTACTTCAACTTTAGACGCAGGCACGGAGGTTCTCCCTACCATGACCGCATGCTGAAGGATGAATCGGAAAGGGGGGTAACTGGAAATGTGAGGTGACACAGGAAAGGAGTGTTTGTGACAGAGAATGGTACAGCTACAGCCAATACAACATGAACCCCTGTATCACACCCACGGATTTCTAGATAGGCTCTTCCGTACGTGGAAGAAGTACAATGTGAAACTGGGCAGTCAAAACACAAACAACTTTACACATTCGAGTCTCCAACACTTTTAGTACGTTAATGCAAGAGCAAGCATCAAACAGCCATTCTTTTTGCATGCCACGCTAACGACGATGCAAGCAAGCAGTGTTATTTGTGACAGGTTAGTAGTGGGCATTAGCACACACATGATTATGAATTAGCAACATTTTTGGCCAATCATATGCCTTTTCCTTACCATTGAACTTTCCAATACAGTTCCTACTGAATGCAGGTCAAACATCTAGATTATTTAATAAAATTTTTGATTAGAATATTCTTTTCTAGGGCTTATGACTTTAATACCATAAATAGAATTTGAGGCATTACTAAAGTCCAGTAGATGGACAAAGGAACCGGCAGTATCCTGCAAACAATTCAGAATTCCTGTTCCGATAAGAAGTTTGCTGGCAACTTAATTTTGGCTTCCATTATTCCCATGTCTTCCCTTGCTCCATTCTTTAAGGTTAAAATTAAAACCAGCTATTTCACATTGTGAATTAGGTAAGTCAGTCTATAATAAATGCTTATCTGTGCACGTGTAAATGTTAGAGCAGATACTCTTATGTAATACGCACCGGTGTTAATTCACAACAAATATTAACCCTTTAAAAAAGACTGATTCTTTTTTATGATCAATCTGGAAAAGTGGATGATTCTGTAGTGAGTGTACTGCTGCATGTAAGTCGGAGCATCATCACTTCAGCTGCTCCCCAGGTGGTTTTCTTCGCACAACACACCAGATTTTCTAGGTTCCTTTATCAGTTTTGCTGGAGAATCCTTCACCATCAGCTTGCTTTCCCTGGCTTTCCTGCATGGCAGCCTCCGTCCTGTCATTTACCGTTCACAGTTTACACGGCCAATTTGCGCGGTGTGCACAAGAATGATATTAAGTCTCTCCAGTTTTGACACCGTTTGCTTCAACACTGCTGCTTTCAGCGCTTTGTGGTGCTTCCCCAGACTACGGGGCAGCTGCGTGCCTGTGCTCTGCCTCTCACCTCGCCGAGGAGCGGGGTCGGCTCTCCCTTCTCCTCCACGGCCCGTGCACGGCCTCCGCCGTGCCAATCGCTCCCCTGCAGCAGATGCTTCCCCCGAGCAACCCCAACTGCCCCGCTAACGAAGCAGCCCCTGCACCAGCCGTGCACCACTGAGAGGGCTTCTCCAGCTACACCGGGGTAAAACAAATCCTGCCAGTCTGCTATCATTCAAGCAATTTCAGAAAAATTCCCAAGTGGAAACAAACGTGGTCAACCTATGGAAACACGACTTTGAAATTAAGTCTTTCCTTAACTCTAACTCCTCAGCACAGCTCCCAGTCTTCACTTCTTTGTAAGTGCTGGGAAGATCCAGACCCCAGCCTTATTTCCAAATTCAGTTTTGAAATAAATTGTTCTTATATTTTAAAGATACTGACAAAAAGAACAGAAGTACAATAAGGAAAAGTCTGTTGTTTTAAAAAGGAAAGCTACTTTTTAGTTGCTTAAGCAGCTAATTTACTGCTAGCTTCTCGATTTTAAGAAAAGTGTACTTCCAGCCTAACTTGGCAATCCGATACTGGTTTCAGTATCTTTCCTGTAAGCAGTCAAATCTTGAAATAATTCAAGAATGCAGCCTCAACTTTTCCAGCTTGTCATGCAGTTGTTACCTTAAAAAGGCAGCACCTCTAGCCCCCTACAAACGAACAGTAAGACCATTAACGTGTCGGGTGGCAGCTGGGATCGAACGGACTAGGACTATTAGTGAGGCTGGAGCTGACAGAATGCAAACGTGCCAGAACACAGATGCTGCTGTGCTGCTGGGTGCTCGTCTGCAAAGGGTTTAGTCACATGAGCATGTATTTTGCCAAGTAAATTCCAAGTAGTTAAAAATAACTGAAAGCCTAAAGTGAAGCTACATCAAAATGCAACCAAAATCCCGAACTGAAGGAAAAGCCATGAGCTTCAATCTGTGCCTGCACTGACAAGAACAAACCTGTTTTAAACAGATCACTGCTTCACACCTGACTTGTGGACTAGTGGTTCTGGTGACTGTGTGTGAAGCGTTACTCCATTGTAGTTATCCTTATAATTTGTTTTAAGGAATAACTTAATGTTCACAGGACTATTACCATTAAGCAGCATAGCTCATAAAACCTCTTACAAACAGAATGATATGTAGTAATGAGATAACAGAATTGACAGAGCGCACGTATTCCAAAGCGCATATACAAAATAAAGCTACAAATAAAACATGGCTGTGCAGGAGCATTTTAGCTTATATTGCATGTTTCTGGCAGTACAAACCTTATTCGCAGTAACCATCCCCACCTGTGAAGGCATCATGGGGTAAAGCTGTTAGGCAACAGAATTTATACTTTGCATTCCAATACATTAGTTCTTATTCTAGAGAAGCTGCAGTGTCATTGGAAAGTTTTAACCGTTATTAAGCGTAAGTCGATTTAAAAGGATTAGTCCCCTACATTATCACTTCCTTCACAATTTCCTAAAATAAGCAGAGACTCAGCAGGGAAACATCTCAAGATCTGCCAGTTTTCACTGTCTTCAGCAGCTACATTTTCGTTTTTCTCCCCCAAGACTTAAATTAACATTATCCCTAACAAACGAGCAACTACGAGCTTCACGAAGTTCCTGTGAAGACAGAAAGCTTCTTTTTACTTCATGCATGTCTCAAAATAGAAAAAGGCAGCTGCATTTAAAATATGACGATCTATCTAGAAATTGACCTAAGATACAGAGTTACACATGTGAGAACACATATCAGTGACCACTTCTGCCATTTTCTTATCTTCTGTATGTGCTGAAACACACTACCCTTGGCTACATCTTCTCCCTCCTACAAATATCTGCTTTTTGGCAACAGATGTATAAGCGTAGTTGAGACTGCCACGATGCTGAGCCTGGAGAAAGCCCCAGAGAGATGGTTGCTATAATAGTGTTTTACTTCCAAAGAAGGAAAAAAAAATAAAGCAAGCTAACCTACACTTCCCCCCAACCCCTTCTGCCTCAGGAAGGAAAGCCTTCACTGAAGAAGTGCCCCAAATCCTTGTGCACAGAACAGGGGGGTGAGCGTTTTTACTGGAAGTGAACAATTCAGTATTTTAACTGTTACTTGTGCTTTTCAGTTCTTCCCCCCAAAATTCACTTACAGCTACAGGCATTATTTTCTCCATTTCCAGTCCCTGAGGAGACAGCGAATACGAACGAATCCACTCACCTGTTACTATTTTGGAAGCCGTTTGCGTGAGATTTGCAATAATACCATCTCCAGCCAGCTGAGAAGGAGGATGAGGCGGAGGGGGAACACTAGGTCTGTTTCTGGGTTTGGGTACCGGCCGTGGCCTTGGCAGTGTCCCACTCTGAGGTGGAGAGTGAGACCGGGAGCTTTCTTGGTTAGATGGCTGTGGCGATGGGGAACTAGCATTATGTTTTCCTAGAGGGGGTGTATCGGGCGGTGTTGGAGTCTGCGGAGGAGTGTAGCAGGGCTGCTCTAGTCCATGCTCGCTGCTGGATGCAGCAGGAGGAGATGCTTGACTGTTTGATTTGGGCTGCAGTGGAGGAGTCGCCTGTGTTGGGGGCTGTGGTGGTGGATGGCTGGGAGCCTGTATGGGGGAGAGGCTGCTGGAGTATCTCCGAGGTGCGGAAACCTGCGAAGCGGAGGTCTGAGCTGCTCCTTGGTTTGCATGCTGAGCAGGAGGAGAAGAACTTCTAGCAGGTGGCTTTGGAGAGACAGAAGGTGGCTGCGCAGCTGGGGCAGGACTTTGGCTCGCTGGCTGCGCTGGCGGTGGGTTGGCTGGCTTGGGAGGGGCTGGCGCAGGCTTCTTAACAGCTGTGAAGACAAGAGGTGAGATTTCACAGCCATGTACTGTGAAACCAAAATGCTGAAAGAAAGAAATTAATAGCGCAAAAGAACACTCAAGTACATTATCATAATGAAATGGTGCATTATCAAATAAAAGCAGTATCAACAGCAAGCTACAGAAATGCGTACCCAGGTTTACTAATCAACAGTCTGTGAGTGATATTGTTCTACAGCGCTGGTAACATTACTACCAGCATTCATGAGAGAGTCCAAAAGTCCAAAGATGTAGTTAGCTAGGGCTTAGTGAAATGCAAGCAAATCCAATCATTGTCTGGAATAAAGGAAGAGATACTGATAAAGCTACTTTACAAGCAATGCTGCAGTATATAAAGAATTGTAACTTAGTGGCTTTTATACACCACGAGCAAACAAAACCTCTCCTCATCAAATGGGGACTGGGACCTGCTGCGTTCTGCGGCTGATTCACAGCAAGCTGGTTAGTGCTGCTTGTGGACTGGCTCTGGACGGTGCCTGCATGCCCGCCATTTCTCACGGGTGGAGGAGTAACTGAAGACGTGTTGTCCTTAGATTTTGAGGTACTGAAAATTAAAAATCCTAAGTTACAAGATGATTGTGAAACACCTTGCCCACCAGATCAGCTGCACCCGTTGAGGTTTACATTATGAACTGTGCTATAGTTCTGACCCTCAAACGCTTCAGAAACACTTCTGCACTGGCTGGTATTTACTGACAGACTGAACGGTGCTACAGCTCTTCAAAGTAAAGGCAAGCAGGCTTTAGGCAAGCCTGTCCAAATGATTAATTACCAAAATTAAGTCAGGAACCCAAGCAGTTCTGCAGCATCACAGTGCTTGTTTGAATGCAATAGTGATACCTGGGAGTACAGTCTCCATGCTAACGCACCCACAGTGCACTTGCAGATCCTTTAAAAACAGACTCCCAGCATAGAAGTTCATACAGAATTACTTCTCCAGCTTCCTCGTTCAAATACACCTATTGCCCCTGTAGCTGTTCGCTTTTTCAAAATCTTCTGTCACAGTATCACATCCAATTCGCTTGCAGTTATCTGGTAGACCTAGCTACTAAGGACCAAGCGATGGCAACCTGTGAAGCTCTGTCAGAAAAAACCCACAAAGGACATGAACCCATTTGCTATGTCTAGTATGCAGGCGAAGGCAGAGGTAGTTCCTCACCGCTGCAGTCCCTGGAGCCTTTGGAAGCTCCCAGGAGGGCACAGGGACTGCGGGAGCAGGGTGTGGAAGGAACTGAGGTTCTATTCCCTTCGTTGACCGGTTGAAGTCTTCTCTGCACCCTGTGTGGAACTGAGCTTTTACCTGAGACAGAACTTGTTTCAAGAGAGCAACCCCCGTAAAATCTTTGAGACCAGGACAGCTCAGCTCTTCCTGACCTCTGGCTAGGAAGACAACAGAAGTGGTGGGGAAACACAGCATCCACGTACAAGACCAGTGAGGTGGTACTGGGCAGTGCCCCCTCCTCTTGCTATGCACCTGCAGTCCTCACTCACTTCTCTGTCCTTGTGGTCCCTTGCAGCACCTTACTCACAGCAAAAGGACTAACTTCCAACCACTTTTACTGGCACATTGCAACCTTAATTTCTCCAGATGCTGTTGATAAATTGCAAGTACTTGAGCACAAGAGCCTGTGCAGATTTTAAATGCAGCTTTTAGACCCTACTCTCAAAGTTTCATTTTAGCTGCCTCTGCCACAAAAAATATCTGTGGAGGAAGTATTAGTCTGCAGGGGACTTCCAAATGAGAACTTGTTTTTGTAAGAATGTCACCTGAGAACAAAAGCCACATGCAGAACAGTCAATGCTGCATCAAACTCCACAGTGGTGTTGTACCGTAAGATGCCGTGCGAGAGGTCAATGCTTGGAGAGCACTACAGGCCTTTACGTGTGGCTGCTTGTATCTCCCAGACCACAGAAATACTGAAAGCAAAGTGCTGCTTTCACCATACAGGAAAGGACAAGTCAAGGCTGCTGCAATTAGTCTTGGAGTCCTTGTATACTAATACTGGGGACGTGATTGCACAGAGTTTCAACAGTAATTAAGTAGCAAAAAGCCTGTATACACACTCGTCCTAAAGAAACTAATGCTGAAATATGATAAATCAATTTTCAGCTTCCTAGCAAACCAAGTCTGGTCATCACTAGCACTTGCTACAGACAAAGAAAAAAAAACAGAGACGTATCCAGATAACATGTACAACAAACAACGAACAAGACCAACAGGTTTCTAGTATTGCCACTGGTAGGTTCTGTTCTTTCAGCAGCAAACTGATAGTCACGCTGTGTGGACACCTCTAGAGTATAACTCGGAAAGGTCAAGACAGGTCTTTTTAAGTATGATTCATCATCAATTTTTTCCCCAGAATTTTCTTATTTTAGGAGATCAATTCTGGAACAGCACGCACAGCAAGAGAGCTCCTGCGCAGTGCTGCTGCTCACCCCCGAAAAGGCCTCACACACGACAACGTGCGTTCCAGCTGGAAGAGGCGCCTGCTGAAGCAGATCAGTTGACACATCAGTTTGCTGCGGAAGCCGCCTGCTAAGCCACTGCCAGCAGAAGCCATGCCTCTTACCTGACGTCCTCATTTCCTTGACTTTGTAACTGTTCTGCTGTGCCAGCAGAGAGAGCAAAACCAGCACCCACTGGGCTTGTTTCAGCCACAGAAGCTTGTGAGTGCTGCTCCGCTCCCGACTGAGCCAGCACGCCAGCCTCCGTGGGTGGAAGTGGTGGCTGGAAAGCTGGGGATGTGTGCTTTCTATTTATAGTGCCACATCTCCGAGGATTCGCTTGGAAGTCCATAACCTTGACACCAAAGCTACAGAAAGAAGAGAGAGTAAACACACCACGCCAGCCAACACCAGGTAACTAAAGCAACAGGACAACTGGATGTTACAACCCACAAGGACAAACGCAACCCCTGCTGCTTGGCATGCAAAGCAGCAACAAGGAAAGCTCCGACTTTCTGCATAGAACACCGTTAATGTTAAGACATGCAACGCTGTTTGGCTCATCCACACAGAGGGGTAAGCTAAACATAAGTGGAACAAGCTACTCAGTTACATTTGAAGACAGACATTGATGACAATGAGGTCAAACCACTCAGTAATTTTACATGTAAATACATACATTTCCTTACACACCAGAGTATCTCCTCACTGAATATATTTTGCCACATGAATTTTGTTTCCATTGCACACTGAGTTGCAGTACAGATCTCAAAACAGACAAAAAAAGCCACTGGATATACACTATGATATGTGTTTAAAGGAGAACTATGGATGAACAGGCTAAAATTCTAACGGATTTTAGAGTGTGTACAGCACATTCATTCTGGAATTTAATTTAATTGTTGTTACGTTAAACATGGTGAATCTTGAATTGATTGCCTTCTTTTGTCAGTGCTGATAAATTTGCATGTGGCTGGCCATAGTTAACATTCAGGTAACCATTTAACATTTGCATAAACAGCTAAAAACAGAACAGCACATCACTTGAATATTCATGATATGAGTGATAATAAATGAGCGTTACACTACATGTTATATGGGAAAACAGCACGCTTTATTTTTATGTTTTAGGATTCTACTGTTTGCTGTGGTATACTGTACCATCATCAACTCAGAAGTCTTATCATGAAGACACCAGGTAACACCACCTCAGCTTATGGGCTTTGAAAAAGAAGCCAAGGAATATCAAAAGTTAGATACTGATAGATGCTACTACATACACTTCTGTTTCAGTGGATTTTAGACCCCCCCGGTCTGTAATAGGAAAATGGTACTGGAAGCAGTAATTATCTGCTTGTGTTTGTTATCATGCATAGAGTACAACTGGAAGCAAATACCAGTACGTTACCTTTGAACCTTCCTCAGGCTGCAACAACATAGGGGGAAATAAATCACTGTTGTTACCTGTAGTATTTCTATTAAATTCTCCTCCCGAGACCAGTACAAGCGTGTCTGATGACAGCCTCCTCAGTAGTCCAGTGCTCAGGAGCGGGCTAATAATCGAAACCTAACCCGAGAATGGAACGTACCTTTCTTTCTTCAATAAATCCCCTTCCATCACAGTCATACTCAGAGGCCTCTTCCGTTCCAGTGTCCCAGATTCGTATTCGCCCCCAGTGTGTGCCAAGTGCTTTG